GTCACTTTTGTATGATCACTGCTTCATGTCCACTCCAAATCTGGCTTCTGAAACAAATCCGGTTGAGAACCTCTGTCCCATCGGATGCTTGTACACACCTAATGGCCATATGGAGTTATGAATCTAGGACAAGTATGTCATGCACATTTCCAATAACACATAGTAAATGAGTAGTCAAAAAAATCAATAAGTCTGTGCATACAAACCCGATAGATGTGTGTGTGATCAGTGCTGGTGTCTCTATAGGGCCAGTTTGCTCATAAGATCTGCGGCTCAAAGGAAAAGAGGCCAGGGAGCTGAGAGATTGAAGCTGTGATCTACTGTAGGTGCGTAAAGCTGCTTCTGCACATCAGAGAAGCTCACTGAATAATTGAGTCAACACAAGCTCAGCATCTGATGAACTGAAGGTCACTACATGATAGCCAATCACTGCACTGCAGCTTACTTTATTTTCACATTCAGTTTGGTATTAAATTAGCGTGACATTTCAGCTGAAAAAACATTTTCAGAATATATAATTTGAACGGCATTTAAAATATGTAGTTGACATTGTCTTCATCCATGGAATGGACCAGACGTCAAAGTGACAGAAGAATGTCTAGAAGAGAAAAAATATTATGAGTGTTGATTTACAACTTCAAAAGACAGTTTGACTCAAGAATCTTGATGTCATTTTCTTGATACATATTTTACATGGTCATAAAAAAACCTGGAAATTTGGAAAGTGATGCAAAGCTGAATTTTCAGCATCATTACTCCAGTCTTCAGTGTCACGGTCTTTCAGAAATCATTCTGCTAAGCTTTAAATGATCTTAACCACAAATTACTGGTAAGGAAATTAGTAAGAATTAAGCAGATGTTCCCCAAAACAAGCCATTCCTTCAGAAAAACATCAAAAACAGAACGAGGTTTTTGTCAGAATCTGGGCGGTTTGATTCAGAGTTGAGTGGAGTGAAGAATCACGATAAAACAGGAGTTGCATGGTGAAGATCTGGTGAGAAATACAATGATGAATGCATCTCTATCACAGTGAATCATGGCGGAAGATGTGTCATGATGTGGGGAGCCTTTAAGCTGCTGAGCTGCTTCACTGTGAGGGGTCAATTACTGCTTTGGAGTACAAGAGAATATTGCAGAATTACTTTCTTCCCACAGTTGAAAAATTGTCTAAAAAGAAACGATCAGATGTTATTTTTCAACAAGGAAATGCTCCTGCCTGCACTGCATTGACAACCAAGAATTGCCACGAGAACAAGTGCCTCAGGCTCATGTTTTGGCCTGGCCAGAGTCCAGATTTGAACCCTATAAAGAATATTTTGTTTTCACATTAAATTGTTGCTAACTGCGAGACATTTTTCAACTACTCATTTTAAGTTGAACAACACTGACTATTCTTCCTGTAAAAAAGTAGTCTGCCAGATTAAACACACAGCTTAAACATTTAAAGGTAAAGGTAATCGTGTACTTTAAAGGGATAGTTCACCCAAAAATGAAAATTCTGTCATTAATTACTCACCCTCGTGTTGTTTCAAAACCCGTAAGACCTTCGTTCATCTTCGGAACACAATTGAAGATATTTTTGATGAAATCTGAGGGCTCTCTGACCCTCCCATAGACAGCAAGGTAACTACCACGAAGTACCAAGATGATCGACAAAGTAGTCCATGTGACATCAGTCGTTCAACTGTGAAGTTACGAAGCTACGGGAATACTTTTTTGCGCAAAGACCTTGAACGTGGTAGTTACCTTGCTGTCTATGGGAGGGTCAGAGAGCCCTCAGATTTCATCAAAAATATCTTCAATTGTGTTCCGAAGATGAACGAAGGTCTTGCGGGTTTCGAACAACACGAGGGTGAGTAATTAATGACAGAATTTTCATTTTTGGGTGAACTAGCCCTTTAATTTAATTTATGTACAGTATTTATGCAATTCTTGCTATTTCCCTGATCACTGATTTGTGGTTAAAATGGTCAAATTTGCAACATTACAAGCTAAATATTTAGCCATTTGTGGCTTCTTTCTTTCTTTCTTTTGAAAGGTATTGTATCATGGTTTCCAGAAAATGATTAAGCAGTAAATACTGTTTTCAACATTGATAATAATAATAAATGTTTCTTAAGCATCAAATCAGCATATTAGAATGATTTCTGAAGGATCATGTGACACTGAAGACTGGAGGAATGATGTTGAAAATTCAGCTTTGCATCACAGGAATAAATTACATCCTAAAATATATTCTAACAGTCACATACATACATACAGTACTGTGCAAAAGTCTTAGGCCATTAGTATTTTCACCAGCTAAAACATGGTTTTAAGTCAGTTATTTCTGTCATTTGCTGTAGTGTGTCAGTAGGAAATAACAGTTTGGATTTCCAAAACATTCATCTGGCCGTTAATTGTAATAATCCAGTGAGATTTTTGTCTGACAGCAGCTAGTGCTCCACACAGAGATCTGAGCTGATCCTCATCAGTCTGTCTGGAATGACACGAAGAAACACAACAAACTGAGACGGACTCGATCCAGAAGAACTGTGCCAACGTCTCCAAGATGCTTCAGGAGACCTGTGTCTCTGTGTGTGTGTGTGTGTGTGTGTGTGTAATCTTATGCTCCACTCAAAAAGATTTAACTGACTAGAAATTGCTCTTTGTGTGTGAAATCTTTAAAATTGTTATCTTTATGCAATATACACAAATCCGAACACTTATTTTGGCTTTACTTTAGAACCAGAAAGCCGTTTTAACTTCTCTAGCTCTATAGAAAAGCAGACACACCTGTCGTAACAGACTGTCTGTCTGGAAGGGACAGTTGTTGAGGTCGTCAGTGTTGCCCCTCTTCCTGCACACGGTCCGTGAGATCTCCACTTCCAGAATATAGCGGATACCTTTGACTATCTATAGCAGAGCAAAGACTGGATGACGTATGTATACACATTACACACACATAGTGAGACGTACGGGCATCTTGAGTTATACCTGTCTCTTTGCGTCATCAACAGCTGATGCTTTGAACAGGAAAGCATCGTTGGATTTATTATTAAATGAGTAGGTTCCAGTCAGGACGGCCTCCTTCACCCCAGTGTCATTCTTGCTGACGTTCTGTAGAGTTCCTGGGATCGGTCTGCTGACGAATGTGGGAACTGGAACTTTCTCTGAAGTCGAAGAAGAAAAATGTAAACAGGTTTCCATACAGACAGCAAATTACTCGATTGGATAGACTATATCTTAGCCATTTCAGTGACCATGTACATCCTTACCAGAAAATACACAAAAGTAAACATCTTTATCTACAAAAAGAATTAAAGGAAAATCTAATTAAAACGTCTTACCGAGCGAGCATGAGCCTGCTAAGAAAAGCAAGACTAGAGTCTGATAAGAGACCCTCATGTCTGTTGAAGTTCTCTCAATTCTACTCAGCAACTTCCTGTTCAGCAACACTTCAACCACCAGCCGTGTGCTGCAGTCCTCCAGAGAGCAGGCACATTTCCCATTGGTCAACAGTATTGTTTCCTACATGGACTCTCAGAGGCCTTACACAGGAGCACAGGTGAAGTCAATGGACTGCTGATTACTGCTTGAGTGCTATGTGATGTTCCTTAAAGATGCTACAAAACTTAGGATATTTTTCAGTTTTGATAGGTCCAAATAATTACAAGTGCGTGTACATGTTGAGGGTTTGCTTCTATAAATATCCAACTTTGTAGAGACCACCGGAATCACCAAGAACAAAGAACTGAATCCTTCCTCAAACTGAACCGAAAGAGGCTGTGTGTGTTGAAATGCTTTGAAAGATGCAAGTGAACTCCTGTGGTTTCCTCCCACGTCCGGTGATGAAATGTGCTGATAAAAGTACACGTTTACATGTGAGTAATGCATATGAATGATGATTTATTGGCTGAGCAGAGCAAAAGCATGTTGATTTGTGTTAGATCAGAGATCAGCATCTATGCAGTCAGCACACTCTAAAAAATGCTGGGTTAAAAAGGGACAAACCCAGCTATTGGTTTTTTTTGACCCAGCGGTTGGGGGTTGTTTTTGACCCAGCGGTTGGGGGCTGTTTTGACCCAGCGGTTGGGGGTTGTTTTGACCCAGCGGTTGGGGGTTGTTTTGACCCAGCGGTTGGGGGTTGCTTTGACCAAGCGGTTGGGGTTTGTGCTGGGTTATTTTTAACCCAGCGCTGGGTTATTTTTAACCCAGCATTTTTTTGTGTATTCTTAGTCAAATTGAAACTGCATTTGCCACCCATTTTAGGCAAGTTATTATTATTATTATTATTATTATTATTATTAGACTGTTATTATTTTTCTGATAAATCATGTAACACCAGAAGAAAGCAAAATATTAAAATAATTAGATAAAAAGTAATTGATGATATAAAAATGAACAAATATGACGAAATCATGCTTTGGTAAATAATAATTATGACATCAAAGTCAAAATTACTATATATTAAGTAATAATTGTGGGATAAAAAACATTTTGTGTGTGTTTATTAGGTATCATAATAAAAACTGATTTCAATTTGTCATAATTTTGACTTTTTATCCAATAATTTAACATTTTGCCTCGTAATTATGACTTGACATCTCATAATTTTGACATTTTATGTCATAATTATGATTTACTAAAGCATTTTTTTTTAGCTGATGTGGAGGAAATCGGCTTCCATATGCAAATAACCTTCTGAATTGCTTGCTCGCATTATATTAAAATCTCATCCTATTTATGATTATTTGACTTTTTAGCTCAATTTCGACTTTTTATGCCATAATTATGACTTGAACTCATAATTATGACGTCATAATTACAGGGTTTTTTTTCATCACTACTGACTTTATCTCATAACTATGAGTTAGTATATCATAATTTGGACTTTTTGTAATAATTATGATTTATCAAAGCATTATTTTTTTTTTCCTAATCCTATACTGACTCTCATAATTTTGACACACCTCTTCAGAGGTCACTTAACCGGCCCATACCCAACACCTTAAAGAGGTAGTTCAGCCAAAAATGAAATTCTGTCGATTCTGTGAAAAGAATACAAAAATAATGGCTTTATTTAACAATTTCTTCTCTTCCGTGTCAGTCTCCATTCTGACATAAACCCCGGATGTGCTGCGCCTTGTTTACAAGCAGCGGAAGATGCTGTACATAAAACGGTCTTCATAAACGTCTGAAGATTTCGACAGAAATCGCCTTACTTATTCAATCCAGAATATTAGAGAAGAAATTGTTTAATAAAGTTATTTATTTTGCGCACAAAAAGTATTCTTGTAGCTTCATAACATTATAGTTGAACCACTGATGTCACATGGACTATTTTAATGATGTCCTTACTACCTTTCTGGGCCTTGAACGTGTCAGTTGCGTTGCTGTCTGTAGAGGGTCCGAGAGCTCTCGGATTTAATCAAAAACATCTTAATTTGTGTTCCGAAGATGAATGAAGGTCTTACGGGTTTGGAACAACATGAGGGTGAGTAATTAAACCTCTACCGCATGGTGTAGCCATATGGCAACATACACTCTGTGTTCATTTCCTTACCACTGTCTCTTAAAAAATTCCCTAGCTAGCAATTTGTTAAGCTGTAACAATAACAACATTAATACTAGTGAAATAATGTTGATTAGTTGTGTTAATGGCATTTGTATTATGGATATAATCAAATTGAAATGGCAATTTTACTTTTGATTAAATATGAATACAGGTAACATTACATCAGTGAGCACGGACATATTCTATGGCAAGGTAAAGAAGAAAAGGGCAGAACTTGCTCTTCCTGCACATGAAAAAACAGCTTTGTGAAGTTTCATGGATTATTGGGGGGGGGCTCATGTTCATAGTCTTCCTCTCAAGAGATTGCATAATGCTGAATTTTCATGAACTGCAATGTTTTTGGTTTTATGTCAGTGTTTTATGATACATTATATACAGTGCAAACAAATATAATAGTTTAATATTCATGAAAATGTAATGCAATTAAAACAATTATAAATCCTTATTCAGCAAAAAAAAGAGTAGAATAAATAAAATTTATAACAAAAATAAAAAAAGTTGTTGGAAAGTATGTATAAGGTGTCAATTATAAGTAAGTACTGTGTTAAAGCTTATAATAGCACCAATTGAATCAACACAAACAACATTTCTGAGGAAGAATATTAATTATAAGTACGCTTACACTTATTCTAAGTTAGATCCACTATTGTATTGCCGTATGGCAACATAAAGTACCTTAAAATAATATTTTTTTCCAAATTTTTGTCAAAAATCAAGTTAAGCCATTCTTAGAAAAGAAAAAGATTCAAAGATTTTTTTCTATAGGTCTATCATAATTTGTGCGGACAGAATTTTCATTTTTGGGTGAACTTACCCTTTAAACCAATGCACACACACATAGTTTTCATGTTGGGGACTTTGTTTCCATAGACATAATGAATGAAAAACTGTATTTTATCCCCTACCCCTTAACATAACCCTCACAGAAAACTTTCTGCATTAAGTTTTCAAAAAACATAATTTAGGATGATATATGCTGTTTTCCTCATAGGGACCAAAAAAAGTGTCACTATAAGATAATAAAATCTTTATTTTGGATTATTTTGTCCCCACAATGTAGGGAATACATGAACCTGCACACGCACACACACTCACAAAAACTATATTTCCTCCCTGAATTTCTCCTCTTCTCTAGTTAACTTCCTAGCTAATCAACCTGCCGTTGTATATTACAAATATTGTTGGCTCTTTGACGAATTGCTTAGTTCCTCTTTTGCCAGTTGCTTTGGATAAAAGCTTCTGCATTTGTTAGTATATCATAAATTTGACTTCATCTCATCGTTGACTTCTTATCTAATAATTTCAACACATCTCTTCTGCAAGCATCTAACCACCCCAAATGCACACACACACACACAGATGAACTTCTGCATTTTTACATTCTCAAAAAAAACAAATTCTGCGTGATTTTATAAGCTTGTTTACCCATGGTGACACAAGTCCCCATGAGTTGGTGTGTATTCAGGTTTAAGTCCCCACCAGGATAGAAAAACATGTACACACAGAGAGAGAGACTGCCATTGTCAAAAGATTGTAGCATTCAATTCAGTAGGTTATTTGACTATGGAGACCAACTGCCTCCACAGAAGGAAAAAAAGGCTTTAGTATATAGAAAACTCATAATTATGGTGACAAGTGAGTCTTATGAGTCAGTCAATATTCAAATGATTCATTCAGGAATAAAACAGTAGGTGGTGACGTATGAGTCATTGAATCATTCATTCTAATGATTAATTCAAAAACAATGCTTCATTAAGGAAAAAAATCAACTTAACTAGCACAATTACAGTGTGTTGCTTGAAGACCTGGAACAAAGTAGGTACAGTGGGGCAAAAAAGTATTTAGTCAGCCACCAATTGTGACAGGCTCCATTAAGCAACTGATTAGCTCCTGAAGCAGCTGTCTAACTTTGTATTCCTCACCAGCAGATGGCGCTGTGTCATCAGTGTAATATTAGTACATCCTGTTGCTCAGAAATAGCTCACGTTTTGTTGAAGCCCTAGTTTTAGACCCTGTATTGGATCCAAAGGGACAAGAAGCCGCTACTCATTTCAGAATTCATCCTGCAATCACCAAAAACACTTACTTTACCTTTTCAGAAGATAACAAGAGGAGAAATGTGGTGTCTTTTCTCCTCACTTCAGCTTTTGGATCCTCCTCGGCTCGCAGAACTTCAATCATAGTGCTCGTATCAAGTGTTTATTCTTGTTCCGGCCATGTCACGTCCTCCACGTATCTCAATCCAGGCTGAAGTGTAGGCCTAGATCCTCATCATGCCAGAACGCTGAAATCACTATCCGTCTGTTGTTCCTTGTCCCATGTTAATACAACGGCCCCTTTTGACACCTACCAATATGCAGAGAATTTATTGCAGTCATTTTCTGTTTATACTGAGGCTGGTCAACATTTGCTTGTTTTAACATGAATCATATTCAAGAGATACAACGTTATGTGTTAAATAACCTATAATGCTACATTCAGCATCAGGATGACATTTTTCCATCCCTTATAAAAACGACAATAAAACACCCTCTTTTTTTATATTTGCACAATAGTTTCAGGTGGTTCAAATTCATTGTTTCCCAGTGCTTAACAAATGCTGTAGGATATAGTTATTCTCCTTTATTAGCCGGTTTTATTATCCCAAAAACAAAGGAGTCATTTTTATGATGGTGATTTAGAACACGTAAATACTCAAAGGTCATTCAAATCATCTGCATATAGACTATCCATTTTATAAATGTAGCGTTCTTTCTATTGTAATGTCAGACGTGTTGCTTGAAAGCTCTGCTGCAGAAGTGTACTTGAAGGATGAGAGCTTCAAAGTCTTGCTAAATCTAGCAAACACTTTGATTCCACACCAGCAACGTATGAGATCTTCCGCTCTGTTCGGCTATGTCTTTTTATATCGACCTGTCTGTCTGCCTGCATGGCAATAACCACTTAGCAA